TTTTTGATGAAATTTGGCTAATGACCCTGTATTAACAGTACAGGTACTTTCGCCTGATTTTGGAGGAAATTAAATTTTTTTTTTTAATTCTCAAAATCAGCTTAAACTTTCTACACAACATAAAATACATGCATATCAGAAAAAATCATTAAAATGGACAATTACAAAAAAGCATCTTCGGTGAAATGTAGCAGGCTAGTACAGGCCCTACAGGGACTTTAGTAAAATTTTGGAGCAACTTTAAAAATATTAATTTTCATAACAAAATCCACTTTTAATCAGAATCAATCAAAATTTCTACACAGCAACAAAACTTAACAAATTGACGTGTCACAAAGTACATGTACATGTAGAGTGTGAACAAACCTTCAGTAGCTCAGTTCTGTGTTGACTGATTACAGTTACCTGTTCTACTAAATTCCTTAGTCTCTCCTAAAAAATTAAAATAATAATAATTAACAATGAGCATGTGTATCCATTATATCAGTTCCATTTATTTACCATATCGCTACTATAGAATCCTTAGTGTGAATGGATATTATGAGGGACATGCTATTTTAGAAAAAAGAACTATAGCACCGTAAAAGTGGAATATTTTAATTTATTAATTTATAGTAGCTCACATGTAAACCGTAAGATTAAAAACACGTAAAAATTATAAAATGAACAACAAAGGCAGTAAAATACGGTACGTTGTACATTGTACATGTATTGTACATGATGTGCCCAAAAAGCTTTACATGTAACTTGCTACACAGCATAGGGCAGGGACACTGAATTATTCACAAGACAATACCGGTGTGGACACACAACAAAGTTTTCAAAACTCGTAATTCAATAATACATGTAAATTGTACATACCTGTATATGCTATGACAATTAAGAATCAGTTTACAAATATACATGTACATGTATATGCAATTATGCATACATGTACATGTACATGCATCAGGAAGTGAAATTATTTGACTTAAACCATGTAGTACATTTACATGCATAACTGAATATGTATGTACCTCAGTTGCATGAGACAAGAAAGTTAAAAATTCTTTGGTTATCTCTGTGACACCATAACGAGATTCTTGAGAGAGAGAGAGAGAGAGAGAGAAGACAAGAGGAAAAAGATTAATCAAAAATATAAACAGAAACAAAGCAACCTGTACATGTACATTACACTAATAACATACAGCAGTTTACATTGACATGGTTTCTTTCGGGATTTCAATCCAGGAAGTCAAAATCTAAAGGTACATTGTGCATCAGGGTTTTATCCAATGGGGGGGGGCAGGGGGAAGCTTTCCCCCAAACTCTTCAGTTTCCCCACCAAAACTTCAAACTTCCCCCCTGTGTACTTTTGTAATTGCATGCATGGAGTACTGTACATGTGCATACATGTATGTACACAACCTCCCCCCCTGATCACCTGCTCTGGGTTTCACCCCCAAACAAAAATTCCTAAATAGAGCCCTGTGTACATGTACATTTATGTCACTTTTGGGGAGCATTAAACCAATCACATGTACACTCACTACACTGTAAAACAAGATCAATTGGGGCAAACCAAATCCATAGTGATTGCCAAAAACCTCCATTACTATTAAACAAACTCACCAATAGTTGCCACTTTATTTCGTAGTAATGCTGTAGATAAAAAGGTTTCATCACTGATGCTCTTTGTGGGTGTGTCTGATGCTGCTGGTAAAAAATGAGCCGTCTCCTCCTATAGATAAAAAGAGGTGAGGATTAATGAATACAGTACCTTAAGCCTACTATTATTTGTGTCTACTAATTTTAGCGTTTTTAACCAAATTAACTATAAATAATAACCATTATAATGAATAATAATTATTTTGGCGTCTATTTAATTTAGTGGTTTAAAACTCTCTCGCTAATATAGCTAAATTTAGTAGACGCTAAAAATAGTAGGCTTAAGGTAACTGTATAATAACAGAAACCTTTAAATTGACACCAGCAAAGTTATCAATATGGTCCTCCTCTTCATCCTGATCCCTATATAAAGAAAACACATGCAAGTACATAAATTTGCTATCCTATAGTGTTTTTTTAGGATAATGAATTTTACGGAATTAATTTTTTTGTGAATTTCCACTATTCTGTGATATTAAACTGATTGTCAAGGAATTTAATTTAATGAATCTTGAAAAATCCGCGAAATTTGTCATCCTCAAAAATAACTCTCTATACGGTACATGTGTGTAATAGCAAGCATAATATAAATATGCATAATTATGCTAATATGCAGTGTTTGAGCTAGCATGAGTTCTTTGAGTCCATGGACTCGCATTTTACTCCAGGGACTTGCATTTTGCCCTGGAGACTCACATTTTTCACATGGATTTTTACAATTTTCAGTCAAATTGCACATTTTAAGGTGTCATTGGACTCATCTTTATGTTCATCTAGCTCAAACACTGCTAATAAGTTATGAAAAGTATGTTGCAATCAGTACAATGTAATACATGTACTGAACATGCATACTGGGGCTTTATACCGTATAGCGGGAAATTTTCGAGGATAACAAATTTCGCAGATTTTTTCATGATTTGCAAAATTAAATTCCTTGAAAATCAATTTAATACAGTACAAGATGGCAGATTAGTGGAAATTCGCGAAAATTAATTCCGCAAACTTCCGGATATGGGTCATTCGCGAAATTTATTATCCTCGAAAAAAACCCGCTATACGGTACTCCAAGGGATATGTACACAATTTGAAAAGAATGTTTAACAGTTGAAATCTATTTTATGTGCTCATGCTAGTCTTAAATTTATAGTAGGGGTTACATACATTCAAAAAATTCCAGAACCACTGCTAAAAGAGCTACACCTGAACTGATACCATTCATGCATGCCAAGTCTCCCTTTTATACTCTCCTAATTGTAAAAGCTCTCGTGGGTTGCATTACATTGTAGTTAGCACTTCTCTACTTGTATAAACTGTATTACCGTATAGCTGGTTTATTTCGTGGCCTCAAATTTTTGCTGCTTAAATTTTCATTAGAATTAATTTTAGTGCCTTGCTAAATTTTTGTTAATATTTAATTGGTTTTAATAAAAATTAGTGGAATTAATTTTAGTGGATTTGAGCCTGCACGAAAATTAATTCCACACGAAATAAACCAGCTATACGGTATACCACCATTGGCTCATGCATACAGCATCAAAGATGCATGTAAAAATTACATCATATAAAGCAAAGGCACATTAACTTACTCTTGTACTTTATTCTTAGCTCCAGTCCCACCAGGCGAGGCAGGGCTATCATCCTTACCCCCTGGAGTCTTCAGTTTACCAATCAAACCAGTCAGTCCACCTTTCCTAGGGAAGGCTGACCTCTGGGGGCTACTAGAGCTGCTGGTACCGATCACTCTGCCCTTGAGTACCAGTGTAGCCTGCTGCTGCTGCTCTTTAATAAGCTGCTGCTGTCTTAGGATGACATTGATCTGTTGCTGTTGGGTTAGTTTTGTTCCTCCTTGAGTTAGTTGAGTGACGGTTGTGGTATTGACTCCATTTTTCTCTTGCACTTTCTTGTCCACTAGTTGCTTCATGTACTCTTTCTGTATCTGGAGATGCGTCCTCAGGTCAGGAACACTTGCCTAAGAGTGTGTGAGGAGGAAGAAACAAATTATTATTACTGAAAGAAATACTACAAGTAAATAATAATACATGATGAGGACCATATTATACCGTATAGTGGGAAATTTTGGAGGAAGTTAAATTTGGCGAATAGCTAAATTTTAGTGATTGGCAATTGGCTATCAAATTTCGACTAAAATAATAATAATAATAATAATAAATAAGGATCATGTCAAAAATTAGGACAACTAACTTGTTTGATTTGTAGCTGATGCTGATGGAGTCGGACTTCCTATAAAAAGTAATAACTTTATGAACTAATGTCATCACTAGTCTATATATACTTACTTATTGTGTCCTTCAATTCATACTGTAGGCATTCTAAATGCAATTAAAACAAGAACAATTATTATTACAACTTGAAAATTATGACAACTACAGCAACTAAAATTATAGTTCATTATACAAACTCCTTATTATTATTTTTAATTAAATCATAATGACATTTTTTCAAAAATTCAAATTGTTGAAAAGGGCATATGAATTTAAACTTTATAGTTATGTTTACTATTATTATTGCTTACTGAATAAGTCAAATACTGTAGGGCACCTTTTTTCAAGGGCTATAAATTTCGCGATTTTTAAAAAGATTTTCAAAAATTACTTTTGCGAAAATCAAATTAATATGGTACAAGATGGCAGACGGCATAAATTCGTGAAAATTAAATTCGCGAAATAAAAATCCACGAAATAAAAATCCACGAAATTTATAGCCCTCGAAAAAAGGTGCCCTACGGTAATCTATACAATTGGCATAAACAAGAAAATCCTCAGCCAAAGTAGAGCTATAAAATCTAAACTGAAAGTTTGACAGAAAGCTATGATAAGATCAACTTGAGTAAGATAAAAGATCTAAGGGCTTCTGGAAAAAGATGAAATGAAAAAGATGAAATGAAAAAGATGAAATGAAAAAATGAAATGAAATAATGAA